AGCATACTATTTTTTTTACTGTTTTACACCACGATTTTAGTGACTAACACTAAAATTTAAGGAACAAAATGACTTGATGTTCAAGACACTTACTCATTCTAAAACACCACCTTACTTGCCCACAAAGAACAGGCATCCAAGCCTACTCATGTTTGTCCTTATTTGGCACAAGAACCCCCTAAAATACAAAACTCAACTGAGCCTCAACTGTGTACTTAGGATCAAGGTCTCAGTGCATGAAGGCTTCTGCATTTATTTTTTCAGAAGCTGGAATGTTTGCTTGTCTGTTTTTTGATTTCTCTAGCATGGAAGGACCTTTGACACAACATGCTAAATTGATGAGCTTTTGAAAAATGGCAATATGTCTTTGTAACTTAATTTCACAGATCTCAAGAATGATATAAGCCCCATTCCCCCAACCTCATCATGTATATTAATGTTTTCATGGGCATTCATTATCATATATGTAATGAAAACAGTCTCATGTTATCCCTGCATCATTTTAAATGCAGAGTACCAAACACAGCAGGACAAACAATATACATTAAATAATAATATTAGACAAATTTACTATTTAGAATAGACTCAGAATTTTACTAATTTATTACTTGAAATTGTTTGGTTTTAACTTAAACTTCTCAGGTTGGGGGAGCCCATCAGCTACCCCTGTCCAGCACCTGTCAACTCATGTGGCAGGCGGCCCATACAGCTATGCAGGCTGGACAGGTTTAAACAACCCAGCCTTGGGCTTCATCTCTCAGCTCTGACATGCCACATGTTCAAATTAATGTACAGTATTTATTGTGGGATATCTTTGTGGCTAGTTTGCCATTTTATCATATCATAAATTGCTTGAAGGTAAGGCATTTTACAATTCATGGTATGATTAATGCATCACTTGTGCCATACATATAAAAATGTCTCAGATACTTTTAAAATACCTGTTACTTTAATGTTTCAGTTTGGAAACAATAACATTAAAAGCAAAAGTGTCTTCAACTTCTTGCATTTTTGGTGTGCAAATGGTCATCTAATTTGCACTGTGTTGTCTTTACTATCTAACTGGGAAATAAATTTTTATAGGCAGCGAGAGATATATCAAAGATACTGCATTATGGTCACATATCTGACACTAGTGTAAAAATATAGTCAAAACAAATAATTGCGAACACATTCTCTTTTTGAGACTTCTTGAAAATGGGGGGAACAAACAAAACACCTACAAACCAAAAATCACTTTCATGAACGTTTGCAGGGAATGAATAAAAAGGGAAATGAATACTATCAAAACAATTTCACATTTCCTATCCCAATTAAAAATTTCAGTTTGTATAGTATTTGCTGAGATATGGTAGTACTTTAATCAATAAATCATAAAGGCAACAGATATATAATAAGGCCAACTTTTTGCAGGACTACTCTGTTATGTGAACCTAATTTCAGAATAAGATGCTGCTTTCTTTTAGTCTCTGATTGTACTCATTGTTAGAAGGGAGATTATCATTTTATCTCTTTGGTGGGGCCTATGGTTTTAGTATGATTTTTGTATATCCTGAATATAGAGAAGTGGATGAATCATTTGGAATGAGTTAATTTGTTCCATAAGTATGTATTCTCCCTTTGATCCACTCACAAAACTCTGCTTACTAATTGGGGTAGAATACTCCACCTCAGTTTCCAAGCATGCCCTGTGGTACTCTTCATTATATTAACTTAGCCAGCAAAATGCCAGAGGCCATAATTTATCAAACAAAAATAAAAAGAAACTAGTGATTTTGCTTATATAAAGAATAATCTGTTAGCTTGAAATAAGACATCAAAAAGCAGAAATCATGAAAAGGAAATAAATCCAACTTGGGCCAGATTTTCAGCTGGTGTACATTAGCATAGCTTTATTATATGGGTGAATATCTGACCCTTAATCTTGACAAGGACACATTAGGGTATAGGGAATGTTTTGTATAATTATAAAGTAAGAATTCTGCACGGCATGAGCATGTAGTAGAAATCTGAAGTAATAATACCTTGTTATGTAACTTAATATTATTGAACATACACTGAAAGGGACAAATGCTCAACTAATTATGTTAATTAAAAAGGATAGATGATGGATTTTTTTAGATTAGTACTACCAGAATAACTCCCTACACACTAAGATAATAAAGTGGTGTTATTCCAAAGACAGGCCACGATCCGGCCATATTGACTTCTATGCGTATACAGTGCATAATCATTTAAGCTCTACTCACACACTATTAATTTCAGAAGGACTAAGTATGTGAATAAAGGTTGGAAAACTGTGTCCACTGTATGGTAGCCCTGTTGGATGACACAACAAAGGTGGTGATCAGAGAAATTACACTTGGTGAATATAGAAAAAATATGGTATTTACTTACATAAAACATTTATTTCCCCTGAAAAATCATCCCTGCAAGATTAAGGTGTGTACATTAAGCAGAGAAGCAGATTTTCTGCCCTGGATAGAACCATCCTGCTTAATTCCTGCTTCACAGTGCTACAGCTGTAGTATTACTATTCAGGCAGCTTCAGGAATCAGTTGACTTAATGGATCATTGTTCTCCACTTCAGAGGTGTTAATGACTGCCTCTCCTTTTTAATAGTCTTGATATTTCACTAATCAATCTAACATATTTTAGAGTAATTTTGCTATCTGCACCTGGTTTCTGTCCTCCTATTTCACAGCCTAAGCAGGAAATGGAGAGTGAGGCATCTGAAGATTAGGCTCTGCCCCTGCTCTATTCAACCCCAACTCTGAAAAAAAAATGTTTTTTTCATTCTGCCTTTCAAAAATAAGGTCCATATTATATTTTGGGGTATATCGTACATGAGAAAATATGTACCGCAATTGAGGTAACATAATATAATGTTTCATTCAAAAGTTTCTATGCAATTCAGAAACATTAATACTCACTTTACTAGACAAGTGTACCCCTCTGTGTTCTTTGTTTCTCTCAGGTCAGATTTTTATAACAAATTTCCAATTTTCTAGCATAGTCACCATTTTTATCTGTGCCTAAGCAGAAGTTCATAAAAAATGTTTATTGTTTTTTCTAAATAATTTCCATCCAACAAAACTTAATTAATTTTCTTTCTAGGCATATTTCTTATTGACATTATCTTTCTCTCTTTATCTTTTTAAATATATAAGCTACCATTCTCACAGTTTTATATAACTATAGAATTTCTAAGCCTGCAGAAATGGCTTTATCTTTATAAATATGTTTTATAGAAGCTTGTCATTCCATTTATCACAGTGCCTCTTCCTACAAAACTGTCTTTTTATATCCAAATAAACTGATGTATATTCTGAACATCTTACTTTAAATTCTCTGAAGTTTTTCCAGTAATGCTTTTAGTAATATAATAATTATTGTGTGGAGTGCAGAAAGAGTACATTCCTAGGATTTACCATCAGGATGTAATTGATTATCAAGCCATAGCTCTTTTCCCTATTTCCTAAAATACAAAATTTTGTTATACAGGATAAAGATAGCAGCAAAAGATATATTATTTAAAAAGGAAAAAAAACCCACAAAATTTTGGTTAACTACAGCTCAATACGCTGTGTTCAGACAGCTGTTTGCCATTTTAAAAGTAAAACACATCTCTAGTGACCTCCTTCTGTGCACACTCAATAACATGCATTTAGCACTGGCTAGCAGTACCTCTAAAAGTAAGTACATATAGGAATCACTTCTAATACAGATCTTTTGCTTTAATGAGAATAGAAAGGAGGGTTTTTTGGGGTTTTTTTTAAAGCTTTTTTTGTTCCAAGCATCGTATTAAGGGTAGGCAAATAGATTCTGTGTGTCTTATTTCTGTGAAGATTTATTAACAAAGCACGTCATTAACATTCGTATGCCATGATGTTTGTTTCCTGAAACAGAAACAAATCATAAAACTCTCTCACCAACAAAGCTGCCTGTCCCAGATATGCAGGTGGACAGAACCTTGCAAGGTTAACAGGTGCAGGAATTAGTGCCTTCATGCAAACAGAACCTCTCTCTGGGTCCACTCATTGGACATTATTAATACTTCTACAGTAGCACTTCCAGTTTTGAGAAAACTTATTACCAAGTACTCTGCTGACTTAAACTTTAGATTCTATTAGTTTCTCTTTTGTAGTAAGAACCTCAGCTTCAGTTACAATGTCATAGCACGGTAGGTGAAAAAAATTTCTAGAACAAATGTCAGCAAGGGATAATTCTAAAGGAACCTTTTGATCTACAGCAACACCAACCAGAAGATACTACTGAAATAGTTTATTTTGTTGGTCATAGCTGGTATCCCTATTGGCAGTAGTGAGGAAAAGAAAAGAAAAAAAAGTAGAAGTAAAAGATAAAAGAACTCTTTTAGTTTATTTTATCTCCCATAAATTATCTCAACATGAATTTAGCTATAAAAAAATTAAAGCTGAAGAAAAAGTGAAGGATTAACAACATTTAGGATGTCATACTTTTACCCTTTAAGAAATGTGAAATTAGTGCATAAAAAGTATAATGCTCTACTCCTTTAAAATGGTTAGTTGCTGTGTTTTCCATAAAGTGGACTCTGATACATTTTTTTGCATCCTAACTAACACTTCTATCACTTTTATTAATAAAGACAAGTTAACCATTCAAAATAAATTGTTACCTCTAACCCTAAACAAAACCATTGTCCAATCTAGCAGTTCCAATTTTTCTAGCTGTAGGCCCAGTTTCAGGAAAGCTTCTGCATTCTGGAAGGGTAATTAAACATGCACTTAAACATATGTTTGAATCCACTGGGAACAATTTTGAGGGGGGACAAGTACCTTCAGGCAATGTGAGCTAAGAGTACCACCCTGGAAAGAGATATTTATTGGCTTCTAACAATTTGTAACACTTATTACTCTTTGCTTCAAGTGCCACTGAAACAAGTGATGTCCATAAACCCCCCCCCGAATGCACTGAACAGTCACAGTAACTGATTCATAGTAAAAAAAAAAACAACTTACCATCTTGATCTGTGGTAACTGTGATAGCTGTGAACTGCTTGGGAGAGAAACTCAGCTCTGAAACTCCATTCATGGCTTCTATTTCAAAGGTGTAATTCACATGAGAGACAAAGTCAAGTACAGTCACAGAGGAGTTGATCAGGCCTGTGTGTCTTGGGATGAAACGGATGCCTCCACCACATATCTCACATTGGTTGGTGTCTGACCCACACTTTTTGCAGATTACACTGTAGGTTAGATCTTTTCTCCCTCCTGTGTCACTGGGCGGGCTCCATTCCAACATAAGGGCTGTTTCATTAATGTTAAAAATCACATTCCTTGGAGCAGAAGGTGGCCCTAAAGAAAATAAGAGCCAGTTAAACTATAGGTGTGATAAATCAAAAATCCACACTAAATATGTATTAGGGCAGTGGGGAATCAAAAACGCATGTTGCTTATTTTATTTCCGTTATGATCAGCTTTTTCAATATCTTTCCAGTGTTATAGAAGATTTTAAATAAATTAGACAAAAACCTTCGTACATGTATAAAAGGAGTGATTCCGCACAGCCAGGAAGATAGACTAAAATAATTTTTATTTTTTAATGTACAATTGTTATGATTCTACAGCTCATCCAGGAAATGGAAGCTGTATCAGCACAACTCTGAGTAGTAGTCTGGGAGACTATTCAGAACTGATTTACAGGAAATCATGCCATTTGATGACCCACCCACACCATGATCATTATTATTAGTGATTAAATTATTAGTAGTATTTTATGTAGAACTGAGACCCAAGAGAATCCTGGAGTACAGTGTTACAGCTAGATTAACAGTTGCAGAATTCAATGTTTAAAATGAGGACACTAAAACCATAGGTAGGCAAATGCGTAAGAATGGACTGATTTTGACATGTATGGAAGTCCCATTCATTTCAATGAATGCTTCATGTGCTCAGGAACCAGACAGCTGAGAAGGATACGTAACTCAAGCTCCTTTGAACATATCAGTCTCTCATAACTAAAAGTCAAAAATCAAGGTTGGTCTGTGCATTTTGTAGATGACCAAATTCAAACATGGTTCAGGAAAGCTCTTGTGTAACTGGGCCTCAAGGTAGTAGCATGACCAGGGATGAGAGCTCTGGGTTGCTGGAACGGAGGCTTAGGTGCCAGAATGGATGCAGCTATTTTGGTACCTCCACAGCTACAGGCTCAGGCTGTGTGGCTTTGGGGCAGGAGCCAGGTGGAGGTGCATGGAGGCTCTAGCATCCTGGCAACTAAGTGCTTGGGGGAAGGCGCAGGAAGTGAAGACAGTGGGATGCCTCCCTCCTCCTCTTTCCATCACTGTCAACTTGACGATTTTATTAAGAATTTTATTTCTTTACTTAGCTTGACATTCAGCAGAGCTTGTTGGCAGTACAGGTAAGCAGCTTAACTCCTTGGCTGGGGAATACCTTCCCCCATAGCCACCAGGACCCTAGATCTGCCTTAGCTACTTCCTGGATTCTGGACACTAACTTGAGTCTGTAGCTGCCCCAGGGTACAAATGCTACCAGGTATGCCTCAGGCCTCATGTTCTTCATCCCCCAAGGCATCATAGCAGCTCACTACATCTCCACCTCAAGGTATATGAATGGTCCCTCCCACCCAGAGGCACACCTCCAGCAACTCCTCAATACCTGGCTCTTCTTGTACAGTCACAGGAAAGCACATAACCTTGCTTGAGATATCTTGGACATTAGTTTCTCCTTCCATTCATGCCCAGGTCTAGGTTGACTACAGCTGTCCTGTTCCTTGAATCTTCAGGGAGTGCAATAAGTGATCTTCCCCAAATCAAGTTTTTTTTTGAGAAGCTTCCTATTAAAAATTGTTGCATCCCAGGTTTTATTCCTTTTTCAAGATTCAGATGAGAAAGACACCCACTTATTTGTATGAGTTGAATATTTAGTGAGCTTGCTGCAGAAATGCACTCAACTCCTTAGAATGGAAATTACAGAACACTTTGGGATTGTCTATCACACAATAGTTGTTATGGCCCAGGAACTCTAAGGTTCCCAAAGGTAATCCCAAGGAAGATGTCTAGCAATTTTTATAAATAACTGGGATTTCTCTGATGCTGGTTCAGTAATCCAAGTAACTGGCAAATGAGAAATATTAGGAATAAAAGGGCAGAGGTACAATGTTTTCTCCTCTCTATAAACAGAAGGGTTGAAATAGAGAGAGCTTGGAGTGGGGGTGGATACAGGGCAGATTTCTTGAAGATCTTAAGGAGTCAAAGGGTAAGAGTCAGATTATCAGTCCCTCTTCCCCAGTGATGACCATGAAGATTGTATTTGGTTGAGGAATGGAGAAGGAATGAAGAACAACTTCTGGTTAGGGAACAGTAGAACATTCTTCTCAGGGTAATTTTGGGCTGCATAAAACTTAAATCTCCGTGTGAAACTCTAGATGAGCTGCAAATGACTGACTGAAAACTAACCCAGCATTATTCCACATATTGCCAACATGAACTGAATCTTGGTATTGACTTCCTGTGCAATGTTAAGAAATTCACCTTAACTCCTTACGTATTGATTTTTAGAAACGCATGTTAAATCATGGCAGAAAAACATATACTAAATAGCTGGAGTGAAGCATATCAAAGAGGATGGGGCAAAGGCAAAAATTATACCCAGTTTGAGTAATTAAATTCTGCTCTCTCTCTCTTTGATATGACTGTATTTCAGTGAAGCACTTAATGACACAGATTTTTCCAGAGCTACTTTTGGATACAAAAACAAAATAGACTTACAAAATAATTTGGAAGAAATGAAGACATATCAATATTCAAAGCCTTGATGACTAGCTCCTAAAAAATGTCAGAAGAGTATATAAGCTTCAGACTGGCATTCTTTTTTTAATTCAAGAGTTGACAAAACATTATATTCCAAGTTCTCGAAATAAAATCAAAGTGCACTTCAGTTGCTTAGTGAATGGTTGGCAGGGTTTTAAGTTTACACATGACTTATTATTTATCATGCCACAGTCCCCAAAGTTTCATTCTTATAGCTTTTCATGATTTATAACACTCGCCACTTAACTACAAAGTTTGAGATGCTTATTTAAATTTGAGTTGAGACAAAGCATTTTATCGCTTTGAAAATCATGATGCAGATTTAAAGATCTTTTTTAAACATCAGTCAGTTATTCCAGCCAGCTCTAAAATAAAATTTATTGAATACAACAGGTTGAATGGAACATACAATCAATCCTGAGGGGATTAAGAATTCAAAACCATATAGTTATTTATAACAATTTAAAATCAAGCCAGAACATTAGAGAAGAACAAGAATGCACTTCTCTGCCCCCCAAACTTGTTGAAGTCCAATTTTCTGTAGTTGAAACATAGGGTAAGCCCTTCTGTCAAAGCCAAGGAGTGGCACCTAATCAGAATTTAGAAAGGAGAACAGAGTGGGTAAGACTGATTATTATGTCAGAGCTTACAAATCTTAGTAAATAAATCTGACTTAGATATTTTAGGAACAAAATTATATACAAAACAGACAGGAATTAAACCATCAGCTAAAAGTATTTCTAAATGTTTTTGAAATATTTGAAAATCTGTTGTAGGCTTGATGCTTTAATTTTTTTTAAATCGAAGTCACTTGATATAATGCAGAAATAATACCTTATAAAATGAGCTGCTCAAGTCTTTTTGGCAATGTGCAACTCAAGAGTGGTATAATCTGGTTTATTAAAATACTGTGTTTTAAAGATGATTGAATATTTATTCAAAATATATATTCAAAGACAACACAGTTATATCTCTTACTGTACTTACAGAAATCTGGTTTATACAGACGTACAGTAAAAAATATGCAGTTTAATAATAGACCAGGACTGTAGTAGCCAAATAAAAACTCCACCTATATAACGTGCAGCGAGGCTGCTCTGACATGCTGTAATTACAGTGCATCAAAGCAGACACAATTAATCAAGTCTGCTGGAGCATGGTAATTACTGCGCTCCAGCAGACTCCACTGTCGTGTATCAACGTCCCCACGCTGAAAAATGGTGGCCTTTTTTCAGTGCAGGGATATTGATACACATGATGCTCCAGGCACTTTAATTAGAGTGACTCTCAAAGCCACTCTAATTAAAGCACTTCTAGCCCTCCCCCGACACTCCCAGACCATATCTATCAATGCCCTCAGTGTTTATCAACACCAAGGCATCTCCCCCTATTTCTTTTCATTTTTACCTTTACCCCAGACTTTCAGCAGGTCTCTCCTCAACTGTACATCAAAAAAAGGTTATATATCCTTGCTATACAATAGGGTTGTGTGAACCTTCAGGTGCTGATTCAATTCGGAGGCGATTCAGCCCCATTTGGTGGCCGAGTCTCCAAATCCAAATCAAATCAGGGGTCCAATAAAAAGGTCCAAATTGATTCAAAGCTCTCCAAATCAATTCAGAACAAATTCAGAGAGCTTCGATGATTTGGCCAGTCCCCATCCACTGCAGCAGGCTGCCCCATCCGGCCCCAGCTCCTGAACATGAGCCTGCAGTGCGACGCTGCGGTTAGTAAAGCGACCAAAATGCTGGCTTGCATCCATAGATGCTTCTCAAGCAAATCCCGGGACGTCATTCTCC